GGTCCTTATCCGTTATCAATACAACTACAGTCTTCATTAGTAATGGTCCTTATCCGTTATCCATACAACTATAGTCTTCATTAGTAATGGTCCTTATCCGTTATCCATACAACTATAGTCTTCATTAGTAATGGTCCTTATCCGTTATCCATACAACTATAGTCTTCATTAGTAATGGTCCTTATCTGTTATCCATACAACTATAGTCTTCATTAGTAATGGTCCTTATCTGTTATCCATACGACTACAGTCTTCATTAGTAATGGTCTTTATCTTTTATCCATACGACTACAGTCTTCATTAGTAATGGTATTTATCTCTTATCCATACAACTACAGTCTTCATTAGTAATGGTATTTATCTGTTATCCATACGACTACAGTCTTCATTATTAATGATCTTTACTTGTTATCCATACGACTACAGTCTTCATTAGTAATGGTCTTTACTTGTTATCCATACAACTACAGTCTCCATTAGTAATGGTCTTTTTCTCTTATCCATACGACTACTGTTGAAAGTAGGAAAATATATAACAAAACACTTAACAAAAGGATACAGTTACCACAAATAAAAAGAATTATGAAGTATACGCAAGCCAGAGCACCAATAGAACTAACCCCACCATAAGCATTGATACCATGATACATCACGACATTCCAGTCTTCACCTGTTAGGATCTGTAGAAACAAAAAACACTATCAGTCAACATTACACGAAACTTATAACTAACATCCCTAAGTTCTTACATTAAAAAACTTAGTTCGCAATTTTTTAACTTACATTATTTCAGATGGTTAGTAAATACATTTTTATATTTTTAAAACTTCACTTTGTGAGCAAACAATAATAACAAGGTTGCGATGAATGCTTTGGCCGTACTGAGATTAGGTTTACCTGAAATACGGTGAGCAAAGACTGCCAAAATGAATCAAAATTACTTCGTGGTTTTTCGTCAGTATCAACAAAATTGAACTTTCCACCAAACACTTGCATGCCAAGAAGAGCAAAGATGACGATGAATAGGAACAAGAGAAGCAGTAAACTTGCAATGGAACGCATGGAATTAATGAGTGAAGCTACGAGGTTTCTCAATGAAGCCCAATACCTGCATACAAAATATATCTGAATACATTCTACACGAGAACTTTAAATATTTAAGAACAAAGTATATCGTCAGTGGATACATCATTTATAATAACACACTTAAAAACCAGGTATAATGTATGTAGATACACCAATTATAATAATACAGTTCGGACCAACTTGACAGGTAAATTGATACATCAATTATAATAACACAGTTTAAAACAAGGTTTAACGTCAGTAGACACCCCACTTATAATAATACAGTTCAAAACAAGGTATAACGTAAGTTGATACATCAGTTATAATAAAACAGTTCAGAACAGTATAACTTAAGTATATACATCAGTTATAATAACACAGTTTAAACAAGGTATAACTTAAATATATACATCTGTTATAATAACACAGTTTGAAACAAGGTATAACTTAAGTATATACATCAGTTATAATCACACAGTTTGAAACAAGGCATAACTTAAGTATATACATCAGTTATAATAACACAGTTAAGAACAAGGTATAACAATAGAACTGAGATAAGATAAGATTCTTACTTGGTGACTTTAAAGATTCGCAGCAATCGAACGCATCTTAAGACAGAAACTCCTAGAGGGGGCATGACATGCGTGTATGTTAATAGCATCTCCAGAATGGAGCTGATCACGACGAAACAATCAAACCGGTTGAAAAGAGATACGAAATACCCTTGGAATCCCAAGCTATACATTTTGAGCAACATTTCTAGACTGAAGAGTACCACAAAAAACATGTTGGCCACCTCTGAAAGAAATGAAGAAAGTTGTGGTAAATGAAAAATCGAACATTATTATTAGGTTAGAATTTATTTGTACCTTACTTACACGTTATCGTATAGCAACGTAAAAATATAGTAGCATCGCACAACAAATAATAACTTCACATTTATCATAATCCAGGTAGTAGTAGTATGTATATTATTACTTTGGAAATTTTCGAGTTAACCATTTCTATGTATTAATGTAGCAACACGTGTTTACTACCTTGGAAGTAGTCCAGCCAGCCCGGCTGCTGGTAATGTTCGGATGCAAGTGTGAGTGTATTAAAGAAGACCAAAATGATCACAATCCAGTAGAAAGCCTGGGACTTTACAGCTTTACGACAAGCCCTTCTCAGCTTCCTGTTCTGTTTCTCCATCTGTTTACTATTCAAGGAAAGTAACACGTTAAAACTCGAACACTTTAGCTTCATTATTGGGTTGGACTAAAATAACATTTTCTAAAACAATTAAAGAACGTACTTTTTGGAAAGCCCTTAAAGCATTGCGTTCAAATGTTGCCCGTGATTGTGTATCTGCTACACAATTTCATTTTGATTTCAGAAAACAGCCAGTATTTATAAAGTCTGTCGTTCTTTGTCATGCCAGTTCTAAGATGATATTTGTTCAGTTGATGTCCATCCATTCTTACAGGTAAAACTGTCATGTTTTGTTTTGACACTTCTAATTTCATACTTGTTCAGTTAATGTCCACCATTCTTACAGTTATGACTGTCGTATTTCGTTATGACACTTCTAAGTTGACATTTGTTCAATTGATGTCCACCATTCCTACAGGTATGACTGTCGTGTTTTGTTATGACACTTCTAAGTTGATACTTGTTCAGTTGATGTCCATCCATTCTTACAGGTAAGACTGTCATGTTTTGTTTTGACACTTCTAAATTCATACTTGTTCAGTTAATGCCCACCATTCTTACAGTTAAGACTGTCGTATTTCGTTATGACACTTCTAAGTTGACATTTGTTCAATTGATGTCCACCATTCTTACAGGTATGACTGTCGTGTTTTGTTATGACACTTATAAATTGATATTTGTTCAGTTGATGTCCGTCAATCCTTATAGGTATGACTGTCGTATTTTGTTATACTTGAGTTTAGTTGAGATTCACTTTAATATTATAAAGGTGGATACCTCTATTGACCAAGATGAAAGCGGATACCTCTATTGACCAAGATGAAAGCGGATACATCTATTGACCAAGATGAAAGCGGATACATCTATTGACCAAGATGAAAGCGGATACATCTATTGACCAAGATGAAAGCGGATACATCTATTGACCAAGATAAGAGTGAATATCTCTATTGACCAAGATGAAAGCGGATATCTCTATTGACCAAGATGAAAGCGGATATCTCTATTGACCAAGATGAAAGCGGATACCTCTATTGACCAAGATGAAAGC